TTCTCAACTTTCTCAACTTGAGCGTTATCTGGTATCTCAACAACATTGTTTGGTGTAGGTGTCAAATCCTACACAGATAAGGAGATAAAAGGACAACTAAGTTCAAACGACTCAAGATTCTCAAACTCAAGCTTAGACTCGGCTTCTAATACATTCTCCCCCTAAAGCTGAGGACTAGAATAAAAAAGTCCCCACTCATCAGAATGAATAAGATCAAATGGCTCAACACTTTTATTATTACTAGGAAAGGTTGGTCGATGATGCTTTGCAAATTGACAAATATCACATTGAAAAGCCTTAACAAACTCTTTTAAAAATAAAGAGGGAAACATAGCCCTAATAATATTAAATGGGGGGTGACCTAGACGCTTGTGTTGAAGCCAAATTTGAGATGTAGAATCTGAGCTTGCTTGAAGGCAAGATTGTGGCACCATTTGTGCTTCTTGCTCCTTTATGCCCATTTGTTGTATATAGTATAACCCTCCCTGTTCCTTAGTAGTTCCAATCCTCTGCCCTCTAGTAAGATCCTGAAAGACACAATGGGAAGGGAAAAAGGTTACCTTACATTTTAAATCATGGGTAAGTTTTTTAATATAAACTAGGTTATTAGATAGTTGAGGAACATGTAACACATTACGAAGAGACAAATGAGAATTTAGGAAAATGGTACCACTCCCAACAACAAGGGTACGGGACCCATTGGCAACAATAATATGTTGGATAATGTATGGACTGGAGTAGGTGAGGAAACAAAAGGAGTGGGGTCATATGATCAATCGCACCCGAGTCAATTATCTAGAGATCCTTAGGCATAGTACTAGAAACGTTAAAAGAAAGAATATTAAAATTCTTACCAGTCATTGCAAGAGAGCAATTACTAGAGCGTTTACTAAAAGATTCCATGAGATTTCTTAGGTTCTCTACCTCAGCTTTTAGTGTCGGTATCTCCTCCTCAATGGGTTGAGTTAAGCGTTCTTTACCTACATTTTCTCCATCATATACTGCTTGGTTAGCCTGTCGTTGTCCTAGGCCTTTAAATCCGCCTATGCGATTAAGCACCTTCTCCTTCCCATGAAGTTTGAAACAAGTGTCCTTTGCATGGTTGTCAATCTCTAGTGATAACTCGTAAACTCGTACGAGTTTTTACGAGTTTACGAGATTAGGACAGCTTACCTGTATAACTCGGGAGTAAAAACTCATTTCTGAGTAATCTCGAAGTAATCTCGGTGATCTCGTGTAATATCGCGAGATCAGTCCCGAGTTTAACAGATCATATTTTTTTTTGTTCTCCACAAAACGTTCGGTTTGGGTTAGGGCTGAAATGAGACTTTCATTTCACTCTCCCCTATTAGCAAAGATCTCCTCCGCGGCTCCTTTGTCTTCTCCCCAATAAAGGCAAACTGTCGTGCAACCCGTGCGTTCTCCTCCAATGAAGGCGCAAACAACTTCGCCTCCGTCGTTCTCCTCCACAAACAACCACTCTCCTCCAGTGAAGGCGAACCACTTCGCCTCCGTCGTTCTCCTCCGTGAAGGACCACTCTCCCCCGATAAAGGAAAACTGTCATGCAACCCGTGCATTCTCCTCCAATGAAGGCGCAAACCACTTCGCCTCCGCCGTTCTCCTCCACAAACAACCACTCTCCTCTAGTGAAGGCGAACCACTTCGCCTCCGTCGTTCTCCTCCGTGAACAACCACTCTCCTCCGCGTGAATCATCTTCTGCTTTGTGCACGAGCCACCATTCTCCTCTGGGAGCCTGTTTTCTCCTCTGCGAGTCACGTGGCTTTGTGAGTCTGCTTCTCCTCGACTCTGCCTGATGTCTTAGTTTTTTATTTGTCTATTTTTAAGAACTTGTATTTTGTCATTTGAGTGAACTTTTGTTAAGAACTTTAGCATTTTATTATTAATGTAATTTTTTATTTTACTCTTTAATATGGAGTTAAAATGTTCAATTATTATGTTATTTTTAATTATTTTTATAATTTTTTTTATTGAGTAATCTCTTACGAATTTATGATACGAGTTTACAATACAAGTTTATGGAGCCTCTATGAGATTATGTAAACTCTCAAGATTGACAACCTTGGTCCTTTGTATGGCCATTCCTTTTGCAATAAGAGCACCAACAATCCTCCCTTTTGGTGGGCAATTTTTCAATCTGAGGAATCTTGCTTGATGCAAAGGCGAAGCTTTCAGAAAGTTTTTCATTCATCATAACCATCCTTCGATTCTCCTCACCTCAAACAATGAAGAATGCCTCAAAGAGGGAGGGGAGTTTTTCCTTCTCGAGAATTTGAGCCCAAATGATCATATTCAGGATTGAGTCCGGACAAAAATTTGAAAATTTGAGACCTCTAAGTAGCCTGTGAGAAAGCATCTGCATCATTACTGTTCTCCAATTTTAGGTTTTGATGTTGATCAAGTTCTATCCACAGGCCATTTAGGTGCTCATAGTAATTAGTTACGGAGAGAGAATCTTGTTTGGCACTAAAGATTCTACTCCCCAACTCATAACAGGTGGAAATATCATGCGTCATAAAGTATGTCTAATGAAGACTCTCCCATATCTCTTGAGTGGTAGAAAAGAACAAAAAATTTGGCTGATTTTTGGCATCATAGTACCCCACAACCATGTCATAATGAGGGAATCCTCATCATCCCTATCTCAAACTAGGGGTCCTGCACGGTGGGAGCAATCCCTTTAATAAGATTCAATCTCTTTCATCCTTTTAACTTTTGTCGAATATATTGTGCCCACACAATATAGTTCTTACCATTAAGTCGATTGTAGATGGTAATGTTGGAAAGTCATTAGAGGTTAATGGCACCAAAGGAATAGATTTGGGTTGTGGGGTGCCCGTTGAAGCACCTGGTTCTGCCATCAGAACTTAGTACAACAACACAAAACTCATGAGGTAGGTGCGGACGGAAGGGGCAACCGACAGATAAGAAATGCCGCTGGAGACGATGGCAAACATACCGAAGGAAGCGACAATGTGTAAGAGCATGTGGATTACCGACGGGGTTCGTGGTGGTCGGATCTATGTAGATTGGCTTCCAGTGAGTCTGGGGGTTGGTGCTTGTGGTCGAAATTGAGTTGGCGACGACGGTGGCTGCAAGCACCAGTGACACATTACAAAGGAAAATAAAATAATGACCACAATTAAGGCGGTTAAGATAAAACGCGGAAGCAGAGCCCCTAAGATCGGGAGCTCTAATTCCAACTTGAAAATATCAAATACTATATTTGAATGAATACTTTTTGATAATTTCTCAATATACAAGGTTCCTATTTATACACCTATGATAATTAATTTTATGCTAGAATCATGGGTGTCAATCATACATGATTATGCTAATTAAAGGAAAAATCAAGAACAAATCTAACAAATATAAACAGAGTATTTTACAACACAAGGTTAAAGTATTTTACTAGCGCCACATGCATGTAGACAAGTAAAGTTCTTGTCCATAGCAATTGTGTGAATCCTACATTTGTTAATATTATGAGTTATGTTAAGTTATATCTATTGTAAATATTGTTTAGTGATATGTGTTATGCTGATGTGGTGTGGCTATCTGACTATATCTCGCACCAATAGCCAAAGTGAGATGTTTCTCACTCCCCTTTCTTCTTTTATTGTGTTATTGTGTATGTTTTGCTAGCGAGGATCATCTTGATGATGATGTTAGAGATGGGCTTAGGCTTTATGCTTTGATGATGGGCTGAGCTCTGTTAGGATATAACATCAGCGCTTTATTTTAGGATTTCATGTTTTCTTTTGTCTTTATCAGGTTTAAGACTTACATTAGTTTCTTGATTTCTAATGACGTTGTTAGGTACTTGTTAGTATTTCCAATAGTTATGATTTATGTTTTACAAAAGTGATTTCCTCTATCCTAGAGGTTTTGCGAACTATTTTATATTTATCAAAGTTATTTCCAAACTCCTTTATTATCTCTTCCATGGTTTATGAGTATGTTAGTATGCGAGGTAGAGGGTGTACAAGCAATGCCCAACCCAAGTGGTTGCTGAGGCAGAAACCTCCGCACACTCCTCCATGCACCTCCTCTTCATGCAGCCAAGTTAGCAGGCACTCTGATGACCAGAACAACACTGTCTTCTCCAGGGTGTTTGTCAGCCCTTCTAGTCTGCCTTGTATTCCCACCTCTGTTTGGATAGGGGGATTGAATAGCTTCCTTTTTGGGTTTTCTTTTCTTCTCTCCTCATTGCAGAATGGTCTGGACCAATTTCTTATTTATCTAGAACTCCAACAACTTCAGAGAAACTAAATGGCAAAAATTATCTCTCCTGGTCAGCCTCAGTTGAACTTTAGATTCTTGGCCAAGGTAACCATGATCATCTTGAAAAAGACAGCAGCAAAGTGTCTTCAGATAATATTGAACAATGGAAAAGATATTGCAGATTTCTTTATTAGAGGAAACAAGGATTTGATTTATTTTGTTGTAAAAATAATAAGATCCCCAATACAATTTGTTTTTTATTTTTTTTCTTTTTATTATTCCTTGAATCAAGGAATATAGTTTTATGTAATAATATTACTTCTACAAACACTATTAAACCAAGTGAATGACTGAATTTTCCAATAATCGTCTTATTTTCCTCTTCAAATGAATTTGGAAATATTCTTCTGGGGACAATGCCATGTTTAAATTCAAGAAATGGGTATTATAAGCATCAAATTTCATTCAATCATCAGTTGAACTGCCTTTCAATTCGTTAGCTAAAAATAAATCTTTTTAAGATCACAAAAATTAATTAAAAAAAGGAACATAGGCTACATGATTATTCTTCTACCAAATACACTGAACGGCTATATCTTAAACTGCATTTATTTATAATTAGAAATATATTTACGATAGGCATAGGCACATATCACTATATAGAGTAATGAAGCACTTCTTGTTTATTTTTCCTTTGTGCACCATAAACAGCTATGCATATAACATTAAATAGAAGTAAATGTATGGTTACATTACCACTGCAGCAGCAGCAGGATTCCCTCGATATAGAACTCCAACAGAAACAGCAAAGCTGGGATAACCATGTGCAAAGTTAGTTGTTCCATCTGCAAAAATATCCTAGATTTGTAACTAAACTATCCAATAATATACAGAATAAGAAACGGATGAGACACAAACACACAGAGAAAATCATACAAAGAGTAAAAAATATATTCAAGACTTGAATATATTTTTGTCCTAACAAAATGACACATTTTGGTTTTAATCCCTATAAAAAATTTTCATTTTTAGTCTCTAAAAACTACAAAAACCATGCATATTTAATCTCTAGGAAGGAACTAAAACCACATTGATTTTGTTAAATGTAGGAACTTGAAACAAATAAAATCTTTATAAGAACTAAAACCAAAAAACATCATATTTTGTTGGATGAGAAGCATACTGAAGCCTATATTGAAATACACATCCTTCATAGACTATATGCCACATGTAATGATTTCCAAATACACCACAGTCCAAATTAAAGATATGGTTTTGATTGGGGCCTTACCAAAAAGAAATTTCTCATGAACACAAATAAGGAACTAGGAATGGATCTTTAATTTTATTTAATAAAAAAGAATATACCTCTAGGAAAAAAAAAACGAGAAAGGAAATCAAGAGAAGAATTACCAATTTAAATAAGGCCCATACTTCAATTGAAAGGTGAAACATAGTTTAAAGAAGATAAATCAATGTCTTTCTTTAAATGAAGCTACACAATTTGAACAGAGTCCGCCATAAAATTGAAAAAATAGATTTGAATGCCTGGTTCTAATTTCTGAGATCTAATTAAACTAGTATGCTTTAAATTACAGTCGTTCCTTGAAAAATTGGTGTAAAAGGAAGCATCAACGGAAATCCCAAACCTAAAGGATCAATGCACCAAAGATAATCAGATGTTGCATCTCCTATAACTCCTCCTTCTTCCCCAAGAACAAGATGATCTTCAAAATTATTTTTCACCACTTCTAATATGGCAGCTTCACTCATTTTATCTGTCCTGCAAATTATTTACAAAAGTGAAAATAAGGTTAAGAAAATGAATCCTATTTGGTCATAGAAAGAGAAACAAACAAAACACGCTAACAAGTTATTGAGAGTTATTTTCTAACTTGAGATTATGAGCTTGAATAAAAAGCTTGAGAGTTATTGTTTAGTGGGTTGATGCAAATGATGGATCTTCCAGAGTGGAAGTGGGATAACATTACAATGAACTTTGTGAGTTTTCCTAGATCAGCTATGCTATCTAGGTGGTTGTTGATAAGTTGATGAAGTGTGTTCACTTTCTCCCAATCAACATCAGGTTTTCCTTGGAGAAGTTGACCTAGTTGTATATTCGAGAGAGAGTGTGGCTATGCAGTATATCTTCTAACATTATCTCAGATAGAGATCCAAGGTTTACCTCTAAGTTCTGATAAAGTTCCACTAGACCTAGACATTCAGTGGTGTTAGATGTTGTGCGTGTAAGAAAGAATTTGAATTATGAGATGAAGCCTGCAAGGGTGGTGAATTAGAAGGTGAAAAAGCTAAAGGGCAAGTCCATCAGTTTGTCAAGGTGGTGTGGTATGACATCAAGGGTGAGGCCACGTGGAAGTTAAAGGAAAGGATAAGAAATCAATACCTAGACCTCTTCCTATGTAAGTGAATTTTCGGAAATGAAAATTTTTGTAGTTGAGCAGAAGTGTAACACCATGTTTTTATTTAATTTATATGAAATTAAGTGTGATGTTTGTTATTGTTTTAAGTTGTTTTGTATTCTTCTTTTCTGTGATGCCTGTGTTGGGGCAAGGAGGGCTCATGTAAATAGGAAACCTCATAAGTTTCATATTTCAAGATTCTAGAGAGAAGTTAGAGAGAATAACTTTGAGACTTCATGTTCCTGTCTGAGCTTTTGATTGTCCAATGCTGTGGATATTCCCTAAAGCTAGAGATTGGAGCATCTTGAAGCCAAAGAAAGATTTTGGAACTGAAATCTTGAGAATCAAAGTCGCAGAAGCTCTTTTATGAGTTGTAGAGGGAGTTTCTCTTCTACTTTGATTCTTCTCAATAGGAAGCTCAATTGAGGTAACAAAAGCTTGATTATAGCTTACATAGATTGTATATGCATAGTTGTTGTAGTTTTGAGTTGGATTTTTGGTGAATTTGAGAATGGAGGAATTGCATGTTCTTTTGTTTTTTAAGTTTTTGGGAGATGAAGTTGAGATGATGATCTTAAGCCCAAGTTTTGTGGCATGTGTTGTTCTTGAGTGGATTTGTGAGTCAGATGATGTGTTGATATGTTTTGATGCATTGCATGGGAGGCTTGAGTCTTAAAGTGGGCTAGGAAAAAAAAACACCATGCAGGTGTTACATATTCTCACTCAGCGAGATGATTCTCATTGAGTGGGCTTTGAGGGATGAAGGCCAAAAATCCCAAAATAGGGAGTTTTCGCTCAAGGAGCCTAGTCTTGCCTAGCGATCTAGGTTCAAAGTTGGAGCTCCACCCGATGAGCCATAGCTCGCATAGCGAGAGTAGCCACAATGAGCTTTGGCCGATAATGATATTGGACCTTCCAAGTTTAAGTTGATGATACCTAACGGTTGATTCGAATAGACCACTCATTTAGGAGATCTCCGTTGTTGGTCATGCGTGACAATGCATGGTGCAAGTAGGCATGGTATTGTGATGTATGCATGTTGTAGCAAATAGTGTTGTATGATACGATTCTGCATGAATCTCAGTTGTGAGATTGTTGTTGATGTTGTGAGAATTGAAGCTCATTGATGTTATTTGTGAGGTATGCTAGTTTTGCATACAGTGTTGTGTTGTACTGGGGTTGTGTATGGATCCTTGTAGTGGGATTGTGTTGTTGTTGTGACTTGTGAGCAATTAAGGATCGGTGTTATATGTTGTAATATATATGTATATATGTGTGTGTGTATACTTCCATTTTTGTATATTTGAGATTGTTTTATATCTAGTTTACCTTGTTGTTTGTGTCAATTGTAATAATCATGTGTTGACATGGGAGCAAACCAAGTCTAGCTAGAGGATAGGTAGTTAGAGTTGTTGTGACCATCTAGAGGATAGTGGAAGTCGAAGCCAACTAGTCTCTTGACTTTAGTGTTTTGTTGTAGGACCAACTCAGTTGGATTGTAGTTTTGTGGTATGAATGTATGTCAATATTTTGTGATTGTAATCTCTTAAGGGAATTTGTTTTTACTACTTTGATGATCAAGAACTGCCTTATAACTTTTGATTCTAGTCAATCATTGAAATCCTGAATATACATATATATATATATATATATGTATGTATGTATCTATGTATGTATATGTACATGCATGATGTCCAGGTTTTGCTGCATGATAAACATATGATGGATGATTTTTATTTTCGCTACATAGTTGATGTTTTCTAGTATAGTTGTGCCAGAGTGAGAGTTGTTGGGTTGTTACATGTAACACCTAACCATAAAGGTTATGATACTCATTAAGTTTTTTGTTTCTTCAATAGGTCCAAGAAACTTAAATGCCAGGGCTGATAATAATGGGAAATCCACCATAACAAGAGATGATAATGAAATTGAAGATGGTTGGAGAAGAAGAGGGAAAGATGAGGATTAGTTGTGCGAGCATTTCACATTAGAGGAGAATGAACTAGGTGACATTGATCTCAGAGATGACGAATGAGTATTTTAGATTAAGGTGTAGGAACTAGGAATTGCAAATAGAAAATGGTAACTTGAATTTTTACATCTCCACGTTCTCCATGTTTTCTTTAAAGGGGTTGAATACTTCAACCTAAATTTGTGCGATTACTATGTTTTGTAATATTTTTTAGTTCATAACTTCATATATGATATGTAATATGTTAGTTCATTTTACCTCATGCCACTAATTTTTACTTAAAATTGTCATATTTTACAATTCATAAGACAATCCGATTAACAATTCAAAAAATAAATCTTCATGTTCATGATACGAATCTCAATTAGATAGCATTGATTGAGATAATAAAGAATAAATGATAAAGATCCAACTTGCCAAGGAAAATATCCTTTGTGAGACATTGGGCTGAATAATTACTTAAGTCCATTTTCTTAATTTTAATGTAATTTTCATATTTTATTTTAATTAAATAAGTTCAAATGACTTTTCATATAACCTAGGTCAATTTTAAATGATTTTAAAATTCCTAGTGAAAAATAAATGCTAGTGGGGATTTATGTCCTGGTGGAGACCTAGTGGAAAGTTACTACTTGTAAGTGAAAGGTTGCTTATCTTAGTTGATGAATAGGAGCCTCTTGTAAGCATCCAAGGCAAACTTGAAGATTAATCAAATTGTGAGTTTTTCATTGTGAGTTTTTTCCTTTGTTCTTGGATAAAAACTTTATAGTGTAAGTTATACCGACAAGTCACAATTAGAGTCACACTTCTTTTTGATAACTTTGGTTCTACCGGCGGATCGTAGTTAGGATCATGTTCCTCTTTGTTCCTTTACCTATTTTCAAGACAATGTTATCTTTAAAAATTGTATAAAAAAGAGACTTCCAATAATAATATCTGAGTATTATAATGTGTTACAATGATATGGTAAGTTCTTAAAACCTAGAACATTTACCTTTATGTTGTAAATAAGAGTATTTTAAGGGATCTCAAAGATTACGTTTTAAAGTTGTATTTTACCTTATTTCCTTATTTTTACAATTTCCTTATTTAGGAACAATTGTTTCCCCATAATAGGGAGATGAGAGAACGTAATTTGTGTGACACAAATTAATAAAGTCAATCCCTTTTTCAACTTGGTATCAGAGCTCCCAAGCTCCCAATATTGGGAGCTATGTTTCTGCTGCCTTGCCCAAACAACTTTGTTGCAATCCTTCCTACAGCCGCCATTGAGGCTGGGGGGGGGG